AAATCTCAAAAAGTACTTTAAACTGTATAAATTCAATTGAATTCGATCGGCCAATCACGTGAAAGTCCTCCTATGAGATCTCAGCACAGTAAAGTTATAATTAATTTTAACCTTATTAATGTTTATAATTATCATATTATCCATCGAGTCATTATAAATAGATAAAATGAAAAAACGTAAATATTTTTTTATACCAGATGCGATAATAGAAATTTTTGGTGGTGATCAAATTTCTTGGTATTTTGGTGTCAAAGTTCGGATAAGTTCCAATCAAACCGAATATTGAACCAATGAAAAAACAAGCGTTAAAACGATCCCATCACACAACATTGATTGGTACAATTAATTATTGTTGAAAAAAATTCGTAGTACAAGATTATCAATGTTTACTATTTTTTTTTTCAGGAGTAATTGTTATTGAATTTTAAGTATTGTAAAGGATTTTCCGAACAAAAGAAATTATTATTTTTTTTTTTCAAATTCATTTTGAATAAATCATAAATTTTTTATTATTAAAATACATGGGAGTGACTAAATCATACTAATAAAGATGTGTCTACTGTATTCTACTGTATATACTATATAAATTATTATATATCAAATATTCATCATTATTTCGTTCGTTTTCATCGTATCATCATCAAATTAGATTTTCATTCGTCGCAGGTTTTCCACAGATGACATGAAGATTTGAAGTGGTCCGATTATTTCTACTTCAAATTTTATCGAAATGAACTTCTCATTCATTTACAACGTCACCAAAGATTTCTTGTCTTATGGCAACGCCTCTATAACATCAATTATAAGACTTAACATTAATTTGCCTACTTGACTGCCCCAATTACTACATGGAACCAAAATATGATTGATTGGGATCCCGCTTGTTTGCAAAATTTTGGAAGAACTTTTATGATGGACTTATAAACTCCGCGTTTTTAAACGCTTCGAAAATTTTACTTGAAACTTCTTTAGACTTGGGCCCGCATTATTCAAAATAAATTTCATTTCAGTCAACTAATAAAGAAAGAACAATAAATGAACGGACGGATAATAAATAGAATGAAAGATATTTAAATCATACGCACTTCAATCCATCCTCCAGGTTTCGCGCACCTAACAATTTCGGATAATACATAGGGCCATTTCGCTTCTGGGATGGTACTATACATCGTACGTTGATTCTTCCTATTTGTGCCGGTTGTAAATTAAATTACGAATCTCAAAATAAATAAAGCAAATAAATAAATAAAATTTTTCAATTTTAAATACTTTGGAAGTCTTTATGGTTAATTGTAGCGATGCTGATCGCTCGTACAAAGAAAAAAAAAAAAAAGGGTTCGCAAACTTTATAGAATGAATGTTCTAAAAGGCGTGCTTTATTATTGGCTATAAGGAATTTTAAATCTTTAATTTATTTCATAACAAGAATAATTGTTTGTTGTTAATCACAATCAAAAAAGATTTTCGTGATGCATGGAACCATTGAGCAAATCGTCTTGTTAGTTGCGTGCTTTGAGGATTCGGGAAATCCTTATCGTACTCAAATAAAAAAGAAATAAATATATGATCTCACTGTAAATAAATAAAAGGTAAATCATAATAATTTATCACGTATCTTAATTATTATCTTAATAAAACGGTACATTCTTAACATATTTACAACACTTTCCCAATATGGCCATAATTAAAGTTCACAAAGTTTGATTAATCAACATTGTTTGCTAGCATTTGGTATAATTAATTTATTTTATTTTACTTTATTTTATTTTTTTTAGTTTCATGATGTAATAAAGAATTGCCATTTGCTTTATTTCACGTGGTTGTAACCGGACTTTATATTCAGTCAACTCTATAAATTCTTTCTATAAATGGCCCGAGATACATCCAACATTTTGGGTATTATTAGACGGTCCCCACCGGTATTATTATCGTGATACCATTCAAAAAATAATGGCATCTTCAAAAATTATAGTACTTCTCATTATTACTAAATACAGAAAAAAAAAGAGTGGATGAATAATGAAAACTAACTGAAATCAAAGAACCTATAAAAATAAGCACCGAGTTATGAACAATGGCTTTTTTTTTCAATAGAAAGATGGATAAAGTATTTGTCACATATACTGTATGCATCAATCAAAACGGGGAACAACTCCCTCTTTAGGCCATTTGAGAATAATTATTATCATTTTGCTGCTCCCTTCATTTCACTTGCAATTGATTAAGTATAATTTACCATGAGATGAATAGATACTAATCAATAGTTGTCCTTGCCATGATAAACGATTTTCTATTAACAAGAAAGTGACAAAAAAGGAAATGACAATACATAATGCTTAAATTAAGGATGTCAACGGTCTTGACCATAATTGATACCGGTTGGCAAAGAATTCCAAAACTTGATTTACAAAAGCTTTAACTATTAAATAAAAAAAAAGCATGTACTATACATCGAACCTTAACATATAAGTTAAAAATGCGCTCTAAAGACGAAATGTCTCGGATTAGTCCAAAATTTATGAAACTAAACCATATCCGTTTTAGAGAATGTAGAATTTGATTTTTTTAAATTACCATACCATTGAAAATTAGATTTGGTCAAACGGTTAACCGAATTAAGTGATAGAGAATTATCAGGAATCAATCTATTTATACCCATTTTTATACTACAAAAAGGAGTTCCAAATGTAGATTATTGCGTTCGATAATAACGCGATTTTTCACGAATTGACGGTAATTGTTATATCAAACTTAAGAAAGTTTTCTTTTTATTATTGAATGACGCGTTAGTTTTTTTTTAAAAAAAAAAATAATCAAGAGAAAGATTATATTATTATTTGCACTATAAACAACTATCGCGACCTTGTGAAGTTTTCGAATTCTTTAGATCATTTACAAATTCGTGTAACCAAATATAAATTATAATATGTGATATAGATATCCTTCTATAAATTAATTGTTTATTGATACCCTGATCACGGCTAAGTGCATTTTTTTTTTTTTTTTAAAAAAAAAAATTATAACGAATAAGAATTGATTTCGTTTGTTGTACAGAAACAAAAGAATTCTAAAGTTTGAAACATATGATTACATTCTTAGTTCATTTTTTTTTTTGTAAACTACATTCTGAAACAAACGTCAAACATAAATAAACAAATAAGCACTATATTTATGGGATGGACTGAAATTCAGCCTTTATTTATAAAATACCTCAAAAAATTTCAAAACAAGAGAATTTTCATTTTTGAAAATAGTATTTTTTTTGATGTCAATTTACATTTATCTGACCGCAAGTAATGAATAAACAGTTTTAATAACATGAATCAAAACGAGGAATTTGTAATAAACTGACAAGGCTTAGTAAATGGTTCAAGATTGATAAATCTTTTGATCTCTTGAACAATGTGGCGTGAGATAAGGGGAAATTCGTAATAGGAAGGGACTTTAATCATGATGTGTTACAAGTGTGAAAAAATGCCCTAATTTCGTAGAGAACCTCTAGAATTTATAAAAATGTAATTAAACGATTGTAAACTCCGTTTTGTTCAATGATTCATTGCCAAGATTTTTTGATGAAATGCAAGGTAGATCTGCATTAAGTGTTATCTTTAGTAATAACGGGGGTTAGCATTCACTTTTATTTTAAATCGCTTTTATATCTTTTTACAAATATTTAATTTTTAGTTTGGGAAGGCTAAAAATAAAATATTAAAATGGATATTTTATCTACTCTCAGTTTTTTTTTTTTCAGTATATGAAATGTCACACTTAAAAAGGCAAGTGATTTGCTAAGCTTTTAATTTATATCTTCCGTAAAACTTTTCTTCTTCTTCCGAGCCACACTTACTTTCTCATCGATAAATAAGTAGGTAATAAAAATTTTGAAGAAGTATGTCAACACCTACCACTTTAAACACACCCACCCCTATTCCTGACGACGTTACTCCTCTTGCTACTGGAATTAGCTGTGGGGTAGTCAATTGCGAAGATCCAGAACAATGTTTTGCGACATCAGAAGGTCCAAAATGTGGTATGAAGGGTAACTGGAGGTTAAACCCAATGGTGTTTCCACCCATAGAATATAGGGGAAGAAAAATTGGTAAAAAGGAGGATGATCAATGTGTGCTATTTGATTATTCTTTGTGGACAAATGAAAATATTAATTGGTTATTGACATTTATTTATCAAAATTGGGCTAGTGATAATTATGATAATGTTAATATTAATAATATTACACTTCCTTCGGGTAGCTTTGTTAGACCATTAGATTATATTGGTAGCTGTAATGAAGTTTTACCATTTGAATTAGAATCATCGACTAAAATATTTTTACAACAATTATATTGTGATAATGGACTGTGCAAGAAAAAATTTAGTACAACCGACGAGATTTGTTATTCTTCAAATCAATGTTTATCTCAATTGTGCGGTGATGCAACAGCGATTCAACCAATTGATGGTAATACGATATTCGAAGGAAAAACATGTATATTCGATAATTTTGTAGCATATGATCAACTAAAGGGGAATAGAAATTTAAATGTAATAATAGATAACCATCAACGTAAAGATCACAAGAATAAAAGTAAGAGTAAAAGTTCGGATTCAATGGTCTTTGTGGTTATAATCCTATTAATAATACTACTCGGTTTGATAATTTGTGGTTATGCTCGTAGATTATTTAGAAAACAGGAAGAAAATAGTGTTGATAATTATTCACGGAGGGCAATTGATCCTGAAACTGGTGAAATCACCACTTTAGGTGGAAGGGTAAGAAGAGGTGCTTCTATCTTACTTAATCGTGGTGGTTCTTTAAATAGATCAAATAGCGTTAGAACTTTACCTCCATATTCTGTTGTGGCTGAAGTTCATCCCGCTACTTCCAATGTAATGGTTACTTCAATCTCTGAATCATTTTTCCCTCCTGGTGAATTGCCTCCTCCCTATGATTCAGTTACAGGGAATGGGAATGCTAATACGGGACGTGATGTTACTACTTTAGATGAGGTTAGAGAAGGTGTCACCATTGAGAATAATAATAATAATAACTCTGCGCCTATATCAAGACAATCTTCTTCAAGGTCTCGTTCTTCTGGAAGAGATGCTAATAATGATCACCCTCCCAAAGAATTAAGTATAATTTCTGAATTATCCGAACATACTCCTAGGCAATCCAATTCAGAATCTAGACAAGAAGGGGAGAGTAGTGATGCGGTGACTGCTTCTTTAACCGAAAATCCAACATGATGTTGGAAAGGTCAAAGGGTATGGGAGAATCGACGCTTAGTAAAATTAAGTTTATTTTTTATGTATTATAGATTATTTGTATTTATTGAGAAAAAATTTTTTTGCCGTAATTTTAAAAGTTTGAAAAAATTTAAATGATTTTTTTTTTTTTTTATATTTTTATATATATATAAGGTGTGTAAAATGCACTGAATTAAAGTTTCAGTGAAAATAAAAATTGAACACGTGAGCAGACATTAGGAATAAATTTGGAGGGTCAAAATTTTAAAAGCAAACACATGAAAAAAAAATTTGAATGAAGTTGGGAAGAGTGCCCGAAACTCTTCAATATAGCCTATAAAGTAACTGCCAAAAAAAAAAGTGTAGAAAATAATAATGTAAATATACAATATATTATAATTATAAATACTTTTTAATATTCTTTATAATTAATCAACTTTTTACTTTAAAATGAATTATTGGAATTCTTTTTAAACTATTAAAATAATAAAATAAAAAAATATATATTATATTACCTTTTTAATAGAAAAATTATATCTTGATTTTATCAAAATAATTTTAAAATAAAAATAAAAAATAAAGAATATTATCATCTTTTATTTTATCAAAATATTTAATAACTTTTTATCAATTTAAAAATCTCAATATTTTTATTAATATAAAAATATCTTTTTATTAATTTTTTACAATATTAAGTAGTAGTAAATAATATTTTACTAATATTAATATTAAAATTGGTATTAATATTTTAATATTTTTTTTTTTTTTATAATTTATATTTTCTATAAATTTTTTATAAATAAATAATATAATATTTAGTGTATGTTATTAATTATTATTATAAAATTTTACCATTAAAATCTATTAAATAAAATTAATAAATTTTTTATTTTTATTTGAAAAAAAAAATGAGAAAAAATTGAAAAATAAACTTAAAAGAAAAAAATTATAAGAATACATAAAAATAATTAAAATTAAAAATTTATTTACCGTATACTTCCGAAAATAAGCACCCTTTTTTGCTATAGAGGTGCTTATTTTGAGGTGATTTTTTAAAATAAAAATTTCCTCTCTTCGATTAGCAATTAAAAACGTCATTAATGATTGAAATGATCGTCTG